ACGTCGTTGGCAGCGCCGGCGTGGCCGCCCAAAGTACCGTCGTCGACCGTGCGCCCCCGCCGCGCGTCCGAGGGAGCGGCCGCTCGATGAGGCGGCGGCGCTCGGGTGTGCGCGCGTCGGAGGGGCTCGATGCATACGCCAAGTCGTTTTCGTTCGATCGGCCAGCAATCGACTACACTGAACCCTTCGCCGGGGTGATCTTTTGGTGCGGGCCCACTGGGGTGCCCCGTTCGCCGAAGGCGATGCGATAGTAGCGTCTTGCGCGCTTGCGGTTGGCCCTGTCGCGGCCCCCCAAAAGCCGCGCACCAAAGCTCACTTCTGCCTAGGGTCACTCTTGCGTGTAGCCGAAGCCAGGGAGTCGGTGTCTGGACGCTCCGGGGCGTGTGTGTACCGAGCTGTGTGGCCGACCAAACGACGTGGTGTCCACACCGAGCCCCTCCCAGCGCGCTCGGGCGCACGCGCCGCACCGCGCGCGGACAGCGCGGTCGAAGACGTCGAATCGCGCGGGTGGAGCGTGCGGGCCGACGGCGGCGGCGGCGGTCCGAGGACAGAGGAGGCCTCTGTTCTTTGTGTGCCGTTTCGTTGGCGCTCCTGTGTTTCGGAGGTCGAGGACGCCTACGGCGAATCGCCGCCGCGCCCCACCTTTTGGAAGCCTCGATCTGGCCGAACGTTGTGGCCAAAGCTTGGACAAGCTACCGGACTATGGCTTCCCCGAGCCGTAGAGGGAACCGTTTGGGGAACAATGGGGGACGAATGGGGGAGAGCATCAGGAGAGGAAGGATGATGAGGGAGAGGAGGAGGAGGAGGAGGAGGAGGAGGAGGAGGAGGAGGAGGAGGAGGAGGAGGCGGCGGAGGACGAGGAGAGGGAGGATAAGGCCTCTTGAGAGCCTCTTGGGGCACTCTTGGGGCCTCCAGGGTGCTTCCTTGGGGCCTCTTGGATGTCTTTTGGAGGCACCCTTGGGCCTCGTGGGGGCCTCTGGGGGCGTATTGGAGGCCTCTTTGGCCGCCCGTCTGACGCCGTTGGAAGCCGTGTTGGGAGCCTTTCTGAATCGATTTGGGGCCCTCTGGGGGCGCTACAAGGCCGTCTTTAGTGCATCTTGGGCTATATTGGGTGCATCCTGGGACCATGTTGGGCTCCCTTGGGGCCATCGTGGCCGTCTTTGAGGCGTTCTGCGACTGTCTTCGAGGTCATCTTGGGTCATCTTGGTCATCTTGGGGAGATTGTCTGGGAATTTCGCGGTCTCTTCGGGTGGCCAGCGGGCTGGGCCGAGACCCGACTGGGAACTGTTAGAAAAAACTACAACCATTTAAAGTCTGTCACGCCGTGCACCCCTGTGGCAAGCCACAGGGGTCGGCGGATCTATTGGCCCTTGGCCCATCTCGCCACTGCGCCTTGGTTGTAGGTCAGAGGCTTATTGCATGCCTGGTGGGATCCTTTGGGAGGCCTCTCGGACGCCTCTTGAAGGCAGTTTGAGAGTGTCTTGGGGCCTCTTTTGTGCCTCTTGGGGGCCTCCTGGGGCTCGCAGTGGCCCAGGTGGACCCCGGGTGGGGTCCCCGGAGATGGGCTCTGCGCGGATTGGGGGCGAAGCCTTTCGAGGATCGAGGATCGACGTTTCTGGGCGCTTCGGAGCCACTTCCGCCTTGAATTCCCGTTGAAATTCAGGTTGGAGCGCGCACCAGGACAGGTCCGCTCCATGAGCCCAATCTGTGCTGGCGTCTGGGAAAAATCACGCCAGAGGTTTCTCTCAGTTTTCGGCGTTCGGGGGGCGGGTGGGCCGCCTCCGAGCCCCAGGGCCCCCAGAGAACGGCCCGGGATGAAGAGATGGCCTTCTGGAAGGAGCCGAGGGCTCAGAGAGCTGGCGAGACGGAAGAGTCGAAGCATCGGAGGTCCGGGCCGCTCAGCGGAGGACGAGCGCAACCCCAGGACGGGCCGCCTCTGTGGCAGGCCCTCCTTGGAGACGTGTCCTCGGACCCTCCGCGGGGCTTCCAGGGGCCGAGTCTTGGGTGCATGCGGCCGCAATCACGGCCCCCGCGGCGCCTCACCGGGGTACGTCGCGCACGGGGGGGGGGGCGGTCAGACCAACCACAACTGGGGCCATCGCGGTCCTTCTCTTCTTTGGTTGGGGGCCATCGGCTTCGATACCCCTCTCGACGAGGGTCGTCCACACGGTGTGCTCCCCCAGTGCGCCGCGCGTGGACCCGCGCCCATCTCCGGAACGCTCGCCAAAAGCGCCGCCGCTGGTCGCGGCGGCCGCCCGCGTGATCGGCAGATCCCCTCTCCCCGCCTCGTCTTCGTCCTCGTTTTTGTCCTCATCCATCTTTCATTCTCACTTTGTTCCACCGTCATTGCGTCGGCGAGTCGATGCGTCCAGCCCGCGAGAGCAGAACAGCCCAAGTAAATGGACGGGTGGCGGACAGGGCAGATGGAAGCTTCAAGACGTTGGGCAGATCGAGACAGACAGAGAGAGAGAGAGAACAACAAACACGACAACAACAACAAGACAACAATACTAAGGGAGAGAGAGAGAGAGAGAGACAGAGAGAGATATTCCCCAATCAGAGCTTGCCTCTGTAGGGGTCCTAGCGGATTCATATGGTTAGGTTAGGTTTGCCGCCGATTTTCGCGGCACTCCCGGGTGCCCGGGTGCCCGGGGGTGCCTGGGTGCCCGGGGGTGCCCGGGTGCCCGGGTGCCCGGGTGCCCGCGGGTGCCCGGGCGTGCCTGGGGGTGCCCGGGTGCCCGGGTGCCCGGGCGTGCCTGGGGGTGCCTGGGGGTGCCCGGGGTTGCCCTATAGGGCGCCCTATAGCCCAATAGCCCTATAGCCCTACAACTCTATAGACCTATAGCTCTATAGCCCTATAGCTCAATATTCATATGGTTTGGTTCGGTTTGCCGCCGATTCTCGCTGCACGCACGCCCGGGTGCCCGGGTGCCCGGGGGTGCCCGGGGGTGCCCGAGTGCCCGGGTGCCCGGGTGCCCGGGCGTGCCCGGGGGTGCCTGGGGGTGCCCGGGGGTGGCATATAGCCCAATAGGCCTATAGCCCTACAACTCTACAGCCCCATAGCTCTATAGCCCTATAGCTCAATAGCCCTATAGCCCTATAGCCCCCTAGCCCTATAGCCCTGATTGGGTTTTTTCTCCGGTATCACATATATAAAATGAACAGAAACAAACAAACGACATAGAGAGAGGGAGAGACGGACAGAGGGGGAGAGGGAGGGGCATCCAGAAGTGAGAGACAGAGAGAGAAGGAGGTAGAGAAAGGGACAGAGAAAGAGGAGGGATGGCGAGAAAGAGAGATGGAGAAAGGGAGGAGAGAAAAGCAGAGATGGAGAAGGAGAGGGGCATATTATCATTCTAATGTTTGCAAGGTGTACAGTCGATGGGTGGGGTGGCGCCCCCCCCCCTCCCCCCCCAAAAAAAAGCTGAAACCCCGATCCCTCGTCCTGCGGACGCCCTGGACGCCCCTGCAGAGGGTCCCCGGCTTCGTGGACGCCCCGGGGACCAAAGCGGTCAGAAGCGCGGGCAGACGGCTCCGCGAGAGCCGCAAGCGACCGCAGACACCCCCAAGACGCCCGAAGACGACTCCAAGAAGACCTCCATGAGGCCTTTCGTATGGATTGTCGATGATTTTTGGGTACTCGGTTCGTCTATCTTCCGGGCTTCCGAGCCCGCCTAAGAGGCGAGGTCTCGAAATTCGTTTCAAAATAAACCAACAGGGTACCCAGAAAGTCCATGAGAGGCCCAACAAGGCCCCAAGACGCCACGGAGAGAGCCCCATGATGGCCCAAGATAGTCCCAATATGCCCTCCAAAGCACCAAGTCATGACCAGGATGTTGAAGGAGACCGTGGTTGGCAAAAAGGTGATCGTAATAGCTCCCCAGAGGCACCCAAAATGCTCCCAGGAGGCCTCCCGCGGCCCTCAACAGGCTCCCGATAAGCTTCCGTGGGGCCCCAAGAAACCCTCCAAGGAGGAAGCACACCAAAACAAATAGAAAGAAAGACAGGGAATTTCCGCTGGAAGGGCCAGAACGAAAAAGGGAAGAATATTGATACGAAAACAGAGAGGAAGAACATTAGGACAACGACGGGAACCGAAACGGCAGCAAGGTCCTCTGTCTCTCTCTCTCTCTCTAATTTTATGTTTGTTGTTCTCTCTCTCTCCCTCTCTCTTTCGCTCTCCCTCTTTCTCCCCCTCTCACGCATTGGCTTTAGCATTCAGCCTTTTCTATTCAGAGTTTGAAGGGTCAAGGTGTTGGGCGCGAAGTGTCATTGCAGCCTAGCGTATCCATCTCAAAAGAAAGAAAGTGATACCAGGAGAGAGAGAGAGAGAGAGAGAGAGTCCAGCATGGTTTTCCGTATGATCTTGCGGACTGCCTCTTGTATGTTCTCCCGTCGGTTTCCGTATGGCCTCCTACACGCACCGCACAATATGATGTTGTCCTTCTGTTTTAGCTCATGAGAAATGTGTGTGTGTGCCTTCTGCCGCCGGGGTGAAGTTTACTCGCGTCTCCACAGAGGGCGGCCAATTCATTTCGAGCGCTTCCTGTCACAAGTTCACCCCGTGAATGTCATCATCGCCGCGTCGAAGGAGCAAGTGTGCGTGCGTCCTGCTCCTTTCAATTTCTGTCGGCGCCATCACGCTGGAGGGGAGCAAGTGTGTGCATGTGTGCATATATGTGTACGCGCGCTGTTCTGACTGTTGCACTTTCTCCACCTCGTCGCTGCGCGTGAGGTTGCTACCGCCAATAAGTGTTGTTCCGCCTCTTCGCTGCGCGCGATGCTGCGACCGCCAGTAGTGTGTATGTGTGTGTGTGTGTGCGTGTGCCGGTGAAGAACATGTGTGAGTGCGAGTGCGTGTGCGCGTGTGTGTGTGTATGTTTGTGTGCGCGTGCGAGTGTGTGTGTCTGTCTGTCTGTCTGTCTGTCTGTCTGTCTGTCTGTCTGTCTGTCTGTCTGTCTGTCTGTCTGCGTCCGGTTGAACTCCCGCGCAAAACTCACATGATGAAGCCGGCCGTTGTCATTGTCGTCACCTTTCGTCCTTGTCGCCCTCTGCAGGTCCACCGCGCGCTCCTCAGGGCCGAGTTCGCTCTCGACGGCCCTGGCGGCAGGCTGAGGGACGTGGCCGTGAAGATCCGGCACCCTGGCGTGACGGACATGGGACGGGCGGAGATTGGGCAAGGCAAAGGGCTTGCCACCAGGTGAGTCGCCAGCTCCTCTGGAGGGTCGAGGTCCAGCCCGAAGACCGAGACGAATTTTGGAAGTTGTTCTGGGTTTGGAGGAGTGCGGGGGGGCGGGGGGGGTCGAGGGTCCTGAGGGGACTTACTGACCCTCGAGGAGTTGGCGGCGGCCATCCTGGTGGTGAGTGGTGATCCCTTGTGGCACTGCTCTAGGAGAGGCGTAGCCGTCAGGAAACGACATCGCGAGGTTTCGGGGCACGCATGTTTTTTCCCACATGTTTGCCAATCTTGTGCTTGCCTCGACCCAGGAGAGTTGGGGGTTCACGGTCCCCAGATCCCCGCGGGGATCAGATCAAGGATCCGATTAAACCCGATCTGGCATCCTGGCCTGACGAACGGGCACGGGCAGAGAGGGGCCGCCATGACGAAGACAAGTCGCGCAAGAGCGTTTTGGGTTGCTGCAAGAGCGCTCCAGAGCGCTCTGGTTCCGCCGCGGTGCTGCGGGCTCTTTAACTTTCCTGTGAAGTATCTGCCCAATGATGCTGTCTTCTTCATGCCCAGCCCTCGTTTTCGCCCGCCATGCGGACACGGGAGCCAGAGAGTTCGAGAATCGAGGCTCGAGGACAATCATCTTTCGATCCTTTCTGTTGCGCCTCCCGAGGCTCGCACTCGTGCTCCCGGGGGCTCATTCCTCCAACTCGAGGCTCGCACTCGTGCTCCCGGGGGGCCCTAATCGACCACTCGCCACCAAGAGGCGGCTCGCGCTCCTCCACCTGGGTGGGTCTTTCCCCTCGGCCCGCCTCGCGCTCTCCTGTCTGCGGTCCCCCTGGCCCTGACCCTGGTCCCCGTCTCGGCCTCCTCCTGGAGCTTGCGGCACGGAGGCGCGTGCCCACACCTGTCCCTCGGCTTCGCCTCCCCGCCTCCCTTGCCCCCCCTGCCTCCCAGCTCCGGGGGCCGAGAAGCACTCACGGCGGCGGAAATTGCGCGTCTCTTCCGGGTGGCCCCGGGGTGGCGCAGATCTTGCGCGGACTCCGCCGCCATCGCCCATCTCTCGGGGATGGGCGCGGCGCATGCCCGACGGGCGGCGTCTCGCATGAGGCATTCCCGCGGGCAGTGAGCCCCTCTGAAGTCCCTGGTGCTGACCGGCAGGCCTGATCGGGTTTGCCGCTCGCGCTCCAAGGTTCTGTCCATATTGCAGGGACGACGTTGGGTGCCAGGGAGCCGGGGGTACAAGGCTTACCGGGGCTCGTCGGCGATGCAAATGAGGTCCCTAGCCAGTCCGGCTTTGGCGGGGGGGGAGGCGCCGCGCGAGACTGGCGCGGCCCGAATGGCACAAGGAGGAAAGAGGAGGGGAAGGAGGAAAAGAGCACATAAGCGAAATCGGTATCGACGATGTTGGCTGCAATGCGTCCTCACTCCCCGACTCCCCTCCCCATAAAGCTATGTGAGCATCATTTCCACTGCGCGAAGTGATCCCTGTGAAAGACGAGCACACCATGGACTTCAATTCAGGCGGGAACTCTTCTTTGAAAGAAATTGCTTGCTATCCCTCGAAGAAAAAAGAATTCGACAGCATCGGGTTTTGAAGTCTCGGGAGGTGCCGAGCGAACGCCCCGCTTTGTAAACGGAGCGCCGTCCATCCGTGTAACAACAAAGTTGGCGAGATCCGTATTGTGAAAATGAGCCGCTCTTCACCGATGCAGTTGCAGTTTACTTTCATCATTGTGGTAACTCGCATTGAGAAAGTTTCAGACGAGAGCCCAAGTTTGAGCATGAGCCGTCTTCCACATCTGACACGTGTGCCTGGCGTCAAGACAAGAGCCCCACCTTGAAAACGGACCGCCTTTCATCCGTGGGCAACTGTTGGGGCTTAGTCAGTCGAGTGTGCGCGGTGTCGAGGCAGGAGCCCCACTTAAAAAAACGGTCCGCCCTCCATCTGCGCAGCTCCTGAATCTGCTTAAAACGAGCATGTACGGTGCCAAAGCGAGCGCCTCATTTAACAACAACGGGCCGCCCTCCATCCGCCGAGTCGTTTCCATGTTCAAGCGTCAAGATCATGAACGATGAGGGTGCCTCGGGTAGTATGCTCGGCCCAGCCCGCCCTAACGACACGTCGGGCGGGGTGACAGGGAGGGGTTATCTGCAGAGCGGAAGCGGAAGCGGAAGTGCCGGAAACCGTCCCAGGGGACGGCATTATTAGAGTTCGGCGGGAGCCCGGAGCGCCAGATGGCTCACGCGTCGTAGTTGCCGGATCGCGCGAAGCGACGCATGTATTCTAAAACAGGTATTATTGATTTTTCTACCATGGTAGGCTCTGGGCGAATTCCCACCAGGTGGCTTCGCTGTCGATGGCAGCCACAGCACGTGGAAAAGAAGGAGGAGGTGGTATCTCTTTCCGCGATCCCGCCGTGGGCCGCCCGTGGATGTGGGTTCACCTGGCGAGGAGAGCGCGTTCATGGACCTGAACATCGTGTGGAAGGCGCTCTTCCCTGCCCCCGCAGCGGCCCACTGGCACTGGCAAAGTTCGCAGCGTTTGCTCACCTGTGCGCTTTCGTGTGCGCAGTTTCGTATGAATGTGCGTGGCAGTTGTTGTTCGGCATGGGTATGATGTTCAGGCATACACGAATCATCGTTTGTCATTGCCCCGTAGAGGCGCGGTGTTCTACAGTCCAGATCCAGAGCACTGCAGGAAGAGCGGTGCGCTTGAAGCTTGAAGGTTGGGCGACGGTGGAATGCGCACAAATTGCACGCCATGGAAAACATCTGCGGGCAGAGAGAGTCTGCGGACCGAGACATTGCGTGCTTCAGCACATTCGTGTTGTTGTGGCGCGCCTAGAAAACGTACAAATCTCATGACTCGTTCGAGCTTGCAACGTCTGCGGGACACGCATACTGGATAACATGAAGATCACGAAAGAGCAAATGGTACACAAGCCTCAGCAGGAAATGTCTATGTCCTACTATGTGTCCACTCGGATAGTTTCACGGGCCCCTCCGCAATGATTCTCTAGTTCATGCGATTTCTTTCGCAGAGATAGCAGCATGTGCATAAAGGAGGTTTTACATTGAAATGTGTCTTGGATTTGTTTCCCCAGTAGTTGGGTTCGAGAGATCCAGGTCACCGCTGCCACTGTATTAAAACTGTGTGGAGGTTCCGACGGACACATGGAAGCGATGTCAGGCAAATATTTCGAGACGCGTCTTAACCTGCCACTATGTCACCAGAGCCTTGCGTAAGGTTCTCCGGGTGTTTAATCACTATCGCGTACACGGCCCATCAAGCTAGTGCAGAAGTTGTTTGCGGCAACGAGGTGCGTTTTTTGTGGATTGATCTTGGATGTTCGGATGTGTGCTTCAGATGCGTCTATTTTTGCATATCTGAGCAAGTGGTTCCGGTCTCTGCCGCGCCAGCATGTTTAGGCCTTGTTGTTGTCGTTGGTCTGTCCAGCATGTTCTGGGGGCCGGATCGCGTTGGAGCAACACGAAAAAAAAGTCAGTGAGAGTAAAGAGGCAACTTGCGCGGACGGAGCCTTGTACGAACATCGGCGATTCCACATTGGCACTGCAGGGAAGCGGTGTCTGCGCGTGGGTCTGGCCGTTACCACGAGGTGTCCCAGTGGTCTAACGTGCAAGGGGATCCACACTTCCCTTGGTCCCTGCGTCGACCATTTTGCTCATACATCCCCACCGCGTCCCTCATCACAGTTTGGCGTTCTGGCCATCATGTCTCTCCCCTGGTAAACCTGTGACACCTCGCTTTCTGCACGACTACCCCACGGCTTACAAACAGGCAGAAGTTTCCGTAGCAGGCACCGTCAATATACAGCATGGCAAATACGTCTTTTCTTTGGTGCACGATGTGTTAAAACATTGTGAAGACGCTCAAGCATCTTCCAGGCAGAAACTATGTACGCGATGAGCCAGAAACAATTCCGCAATCCTGTTCCCTTTCTGCTTCTGTGTCTCCCTGCCCGCGGATACTCCTTCCCGTTTCCGCTTCCCTCTTGCGTCCATGGTCAATGTTAGAATGCATGTGATGTTTTACATGTTCGCTATCTCAGTCCATGCCTATGAATGGATTCATTTCTCGCCGCTTCTTTGTTCCGTGTTTTTCGCAATCGATTTTAGTCGTCCAATGTTTCTTCGTTGCGTTATCAATTACATTATTCCCATTCCGCATGGACCTCGGTTCTGTTTCAGCGAGCAGTCAGTCCAGCGGTTTCTGCATTGTTCCAAGCTTCCGCACCAAACTGTATTTCGCACGGTTGGCATCCAATTGTGCTAGTGTCGGTTGTGGAGCCCATCGCCAGCAGCACGACCAGCGGCAGGTAGGTCGCAGATATCTTGCCTGAGTCCGCATGCATTTGCCGTCCCTTCCTGGGGGCATGTTTTCGCTGCCGACCGTTAATTGATGGTCCCGCAGCCAAGTAATGGGATCTGGAAAGACTCATAATTATGGTCCATTTCAGTCCACACATGTTGAATGCGTGTTCTGCCACCCTGCCCGAGACCAAATTCCACTCAAAGCTGGACCCCGATCATTCCTGGGGTCCGCCTTGTCTGGTCAGCTTTCCTCGCAGCTTCCTGCTGCGGCGACGCCTCGACAAGTGTCCCCCCTCGCTGAGGGCCAAACAGAGAGGATCACGAGGAGGCAGGAGGACCCAGACATCTGACGCTGTGATTGTTCACGACATGGGCCCCTAGAGGTATGGACCCCTCCCCAGGGTCAGCTTTTAGAAGCCGGTGTAATTGTTGGACGGCCCGAGGGTTGGGTAAGGGCCCCTGGAGGCCGAACATTGAAAACAAGATTACCCAGGGACGTACGTGGCGACTACACACAGGACCGCTCACTACCAATGACATTTTCGAAATACCAACTGTCGGCAGGAGGATTCAGGAGTGAGATCTGGAGAGCGCGGCAACGGGGGGACGCGAGGTCTCGACAGGGTGTGCGTACAACTCCACTCCGCTGGAATTCTCAGGAGCCGTTCGCAGACGCCCCAGGGAGCCGCGAGGTCTCGGCTGGGTGTGCGTGTCCCCCTACTCCGTTGGGCCACCCAGGGGAGCCCACGAGAGTAGCGACGATTGCGCAATTCGCAGACCCCCAAGGGAGTCACGAGGTCTCGGCTAGGTGTGCGCGTCCCCCCACTCCGCTGGGCCTTCCAGGATTCCACGAAAGCGGCGACCGCTGCGAAGTTCACAGACCTCCCAGGGAGCCGCGAGATTTCGGCTGGGCGTGCGTGTCCCCCCACTCCGTTTGGCCTCCTAGGAGCCCACGAAAGTTGCGACAGTTGCGCAGTTCGCAACCCCCACCCCCAGGGAACCGCGAGGTCTCGTCTGGGTGTGCGTGTCCGCTGGACCTCCCTGGAGCCCACGAAAGTGGCGATGGTGGCGCAGTTCGCAAGCCCCAAGGGAGCCGCGAGGTCTCGTCTGGGTGTGCGTGTCCCCCCACTCCGCTGGGCCCCCCCCAGGGGCCCACGCAAGCGGCGACCGTTAGTTACGCAGTTCGCAGCCCCCAAGGGAGCCGCGAGGTCTCGGCTGGATCTGCGTGTCCCCCCACTCCGCTGGGCCTTCCACGAGCCCACGAAAGTGGCGACGGTTTCGCAGCGTCAGGCAAGAATAAGGTGCGACAGAGGAAGAGGAACTGTATGATGGGACAGCACAAAGGAAAAAGGGGGAGCGGGAGGAAGAAGGCATGAGGAGGAAGAAGGGGAAGGGGAAAAGGATGATAGGGGGAGGCGGAGGAGGAGACTTGGACAGCACAGTGTTCTAATCAGAACGAGAACCCAACACAGGAGGGTTGGGCAACAAATGTCAGATGCGAACACGTCAAGGAGGAGGATGAGGAGGAGGAGGAGGAGGAGGAGCAGCAGCAGGAGGAGGAGGAGGAGGAGCCTGAGGTGAAGCGTGAGGATGAGTCGGAGGAGGAGCGGTGCACCCCCCCCAGTAGGTGATGGGCGTCTTTCAGTCTGTACTGCACATGGCGGTGCCCTTCGACCGCGCCGAGTTCGACGAGGTGATCCAGGCGCAAATGGACTTCACGCGCGAGGCCGCGCCCGCCCCGGGCAACCCTTCTTACATCCCTTCGCTGTGAAACATGACGAGGGAAGGTGTTTGCATATGTTCTGCCTCTTGGGGCCCTTGCCAGGTTCGGGGGCCGTCAAAAATGAATCGGGATGAGAAGCCGTTCCTGGGGAAGGGGCTCCGACCTTTGGGGAACCACGTTGCGAAAAAATGAAGAAACACGACGGATATGCGTCGGTCTGCTCTTCGCCCTGCAAATTCGCGCTCGTATTCTTTCAGATTGTTTGAGGACTCGAAAAAGGTCATAATTCATCAGACCCCCCGGGGCCGTGCAGATTTCATGGATCGGCACTGCGAAGGGGCGGCGCTTGAGGCTCGGCCAGGGAGGGGGGTCCGATCCAAGAATTTCTCACGGACTTCCGAAAGCTGATGTTCGTGACGATATTTCTTCTTCCACCTTAGAGGCCTTGGACTGCTCCACGTCCCCATTGTCCTCAGATTCTCGCCGCGAGAGCGTCCCCACACCGCCTTGGACCTCCGTGGAGGCTAGGCTTCGGGCCCCCGGGTTGCCAAACAAGGACTGGGTAGACAGCCGGCCCCTGGAAAGGGGTCGAGAAGTCCTGGGGGCCCATCCTCAGAGTCCGCACATAGCAGAACCGTTCTTTGTTGTGCGCATTCTCGTCTGACTCAGGTCGACTTCGGCCCTATCGATCTGCGGCCGCGGCCGCCTCTTTCCCTTCCGTCCCCCCCTGTCTTCGTCGTCGTCCTCCTCCCCCCGCCTCGTCCTCCTGGGCGCCGAACGCTACGAACAGTCTTGTCGGTGACCGATGCCGTCGACCTGTACCTCCCCAGATTTCACGGCCCCCGTTTATTCTTGCACGATGTTCCTGGGCCCCCGCTCGTCCGAGCACAGGCCTCGGGCCATGACTTGCTAGCCTCCCTCCTCCACGCCCTCCTCTTGGGCGCTCCGAGATGCATGTTTTGCGGGTTTTTCCCGGCCAGGGCTGAGGCCCAGGGTTCTCTTTGAGGGGTTTGCCCCCGGATCTGACGGCTATAGGGTCGGCGAATGTTTGTTTTGCGATAGATATCGAGATCGCGTAGGGCCGGCGAATTAAAATTTGAGGAAATCCCTAGCGGAACGCTTGTTTTTCAGAATTTGTTGAGGATGTCTCGTGCGAAACGCTTGTTTTGTGTTATAGGTTGCTCTCTCCTGGGGACCAGAATTCAGAGGATCTCTGAAGTTAAAAGCTTGTTTTCACGTGCCCAGGTCTTGAGGATTTCTCGAGCGAGACGCTTGGTTTCACGCCTCCAGGTTGCCCAGGCAGAGGTCTAGCGCCAGGATTTGTTGAGGATGTCTCGAGCGAGACGCTTGGTTTCACGCGTCTGCGTCGCCCAGGCGGATGTCTAGCATCAGGATGTGTTGACGAAGTCTCGATCGAGATGCTTGTTTGCACGTGTCCAGCTTGCCCAGGAGGATGCCTAGCATGAGGATGTGTTGAGAATGTCTCGAGAGATGATGAAGATGTGTTGAGGATGTCTCGAGCGAGACGTTTGCTTTCACGTATACAGGTCGCCCAGGCGGATGTCTAGCGAAACGCTTGTTTTCACGTATCCAGGTCGCTCAGGCGGATGTCTAACATGAGGATTTTTGACAGGATGTCTCGAGCGAAACGCTTGTCCCCAGCACGTTCCGTAGCGCGCTCCCTTGGCACGTCCCGCGGTGCTTCCCCATCCCCATGGCACGTCCCCTGGCACGTCGCTTGGCGCGTCCCTTGAGACGTTCCGCGGCGCGTCCTCCTGGCATGTCCCCCTGTCAATAAGCTCTGGGACAGCTACTATGTGTTCAGGCAGCTCGAGCTTAAGATCCAGATCAGTTCGGTCAGGACTCGGATGCAAAGAAGGACTCGATCCACAATGCTATAGAGAAATTGCGGCATGGCACATCGCAATTCAGCACGGCGCAGCACAGCACAGACTTCGGCACGGTACATCAAGATCGATACAATCAGCATTGCAACCTGGCACGTTCCGTGGCGAGTCCCCCTGGCACGTCGCGCGGCGCGTCCCCTGGCACGTCCCGTGGCACGTCCATTGACACGTTCCGCAGCGCGTCCCCTTGGCACGTCCCGCGGTGCGTCTTTGTGGCACGTCCCGTGGCACGTCGCTTGGCAGCTCGAGCTTAATATCCAGATCAGTTCGGTCAGGACTCGGATACAAAGGAGGACTCGATCCACAACGCTATAGAGCACAATCGCGGCATGGCACATCGCAATTCGGCACGGTGCAGCACGGTGCAGCACAGCACAGCTCTCGGCAGGGTACATCAAGATCGATACACTCAGCATTGCGTTTGCCCGTCGCCCAATCAGGAGGTGTCTTTGAAACGTTGCCATGCCTTACATGTCTAGATTCCTTTCCTGTTTCGTGGGTCGATCATGTTGTTGGACCTCCGGATTCCGCCGGGACACGCTTGCCCCTCCTGCCAGGCCTTCAACCTGCAGAAGTTCAGCCGCAACTTTCGCGGGGAGGCCCGCATTCGCTTCCCCAAGGTGTCATCTAGTCAAGAAAGCTGCACACTTCCCCACCTCCCGCTGCGAAAAGTCACGACGGAAGGTGTTTGGCAATTTTTGGCCTCAGGGGGCCTTCACTGGTCCCGGGGACCGTCCAACATTTACTCGGGATGGAAAGCCGGTCCTGGGGAAGAGATCCAGACCTCTGGAGGTCAACGTGTCGACAAAAATCACGACGTTGGGGTTCGGGGACCATGCACTTTCGGATGTCCGCGCGGATTCTCAGGTCGGCGCGGGGCCCTGCTCTCAACACCCCTGGGGCGGCGCCTCCGAGGTGGCGTGGGGAGATGGGCCCAGTGCTGGCCCAAGAAATCTGCCCAAAGCTCCGACAGGTTGGGACGGTGTAGGTTTCGGCTCTCTGAAGGTGTCCCCGAAGCTCGTGACGCCCGAAGGACGGGGGTCGGTCGCGCGCGCGCGCGCGCGCCTGAGGCGCGGCACGGCCGATCCGTCAGACGTGGGGCGCCCCCGCCCCCGGCACCAGCCTCACTTGTGACGCCGAGATGTTTCAAATCCAAGGTATGTTCCCAATCTCCATGTCGGCATCTGGAGGCCCTTTTGGTGCCCTGGCAGCATAAGACAACGAGCTGGGATGAAGCAACAATCCCCGGGGAGGGGTCGAGAGTTCAGGGGCCAGCGAATTGGAGTGATCAGTACTTCAGAGGTCTGGGCCATTATCCGAATCCCGACCCACGCCCCACGCCTTCGGATTTGACAAATGATTTGGCATGCATCTGCCTGACCCCACTGATCTCCAATCTCTTCTCTCACTCCGCGTGCCCACACTGTATGTAGTGTTTCGTGGCTTTCGGCCAGGCTGGGTCGTGGACAAGAGGCCTTTGAGGCAGGCTTGTTGGGGTCTCTTGGAAGGCCTGTCAAGGGCCTTGCGGCTGTATTTGGGTGCCCCTGGGGGTCTCATGGGGCCTCTTGGGGGGGTGTCTTGGGGGCCTCCGGGTGCCTCTTCGGGGGCCCTTCGGGGCGTGTTTGCGGTCTCGGGAGACATCTTCTGGGGAAAGGGTTCCAACTGCCAGTTCGGATTCCACTCTTGGGGCCATCTTGAGGGCCTCTGGAGCTTTGGGGGGCCTCTTGTGCTGTTTTGGAGGCCCTCTTGGGCCATCTTGGGGTCCTGCTGGGAACCTCTCTGGCGATATTTGGGGCCTCCTGGGCCGTCTCGGGGGGGCCAGAAGCACGAGAAGGCGATAACGCGAAAGTGTAGTAATTCTCCTGGCGAAGGACACAACCATATGCAGTTGTGAATACCAGAGTTGCTAGTATTTCTTTGGTGGAGCTCCCTACCCGCATGCGATCGCAGCTGCTGGGGCATTCGGTGGGCCTCCTTATGGGGGCCACAAAACGTTCGAGGGGTGTGCCGACATGGCTGTGGAACCGCATGCTAACGCAGACTGGGGCCTTCGATGCAGCTCCCTGTGGGGCCACGAAGCGTGTGAGGGGTGTGAAGAAATGGCGGTGCAACCGCATGCCAACGCAGGCACTGGGGCCTTCGGAGGAGCCCCCTATGGGGCCACGACACGTGTGAAGGGTGTGCCGAAATTGGGGTGGAACCGCAAGCGAACGCAGTCACTGGGGCCTCCGGCGTAGCCCCCTATGGGGCCACGAAGCGTGTGAGGGGTGTGCCGACATCGGGGTGGAACCGCATCCGAACGCAGTCACTGTGGAGCTCCTTGTGGGGCCACGAAACGTGTAAGGTGTGTGCCGAAATGGCGGTGGAATCGCATGCGAACGCAGCCACTGGGGCCTTCGGAGGAGTCCCTTATGGCGGCCACGACACGTGTGAGGGGTGTGCCGAAATGGTGGTGGAACCGCATGCGAACGCAGCCACTGGGTCCTTTGGCGAAGCTCCTATGTGGCAACAAAACGTTCGAGGGGTGTGCCGAAATGGCGGTGGAACCGCATGCCAACGCAGCCACTGGGGCCTTCGATGGAGCCCCCCATGGGGCAACAAAACGTGTGAGGGGTGTGCCAAATTGCAGTGGAACCGCATGCGAACGCAGCCGCTGGGGCCTTTGGCGGAGCCCCCTTATGGGGCCACGAAACGTGTGAGGGGTGTGCCGAAATGGGGGGTGGAACCGCATCCGAACGCAGCCGCTGAGTCCTTCGGTGGAGCTCCCCATGGGGCCACGGGGCCACGAAACGTGTGAGGGGTGTGCCGAAATGGGGTCGGAACCACATGCGAACGCAGCCGCTGGGGCCTTTTGGCGGAGCTCCTAAGGGCAACAAAATGTGTGAGGGGTTTGCCGACATGGGGGTGGAACCGCATGCCAACGCAGCCACTGTGGCCTTCGATGGAGCCCCCTATGGGGCCACGAAGCGTGTGAGAGGTTTGGCGAAATGGCGGTGGAACCGCGTGCGAACGCAGCCACTAGGGCCTTCGGTGGAGCTCGTTATGGGGCCACGAAACGTGAGAGGGGTGTGCCGAAATTGGGGTGGTAGGAGGGAAGAGTGGGAGGAGGGGGAGGAGAGCGGGAGGAGGAAGGAGACGCGGGGCGCTGTCTCTTCAAAACGAGGACCCAACACCACAGGATGGTTGGGAAAAACACATGGGAAGTCATTGATGTTTGATCTTCGGGCCTTCTTGGGGGTCTCTTGAGGCATTTTGGAGGCGTCTCGGGCCATCTGGAGATCATTTTGGGCGTCTTTGAGCGCTCTTGGGCCATCTCGGACCACCTTGGGCTCTCCTGGAGGTCCCTTGGAGCAAACCTGCAGCGCTCTGGGGGGCCTCGAAGGCCGCGCCCAGGAGCAAAACCATCTCTGACCCGAGTCGCGCGCGAGTCGCGCGCGCAGTGGTCGGGGTACGTTTCGCCCGCGGACTCCCAGTGGCGGCCCCGCGCGCGAGCTAGAAATATTCAAAGCCTGCTACTGGAGACCTTAGCACGCCCTTGGCCTGTTGGGCCAGCGAATTTTGATGCTCAGGCCGTCGCTTGACTTGGAGAAGTGCTCGTCCAGCTAGGCTCCAAGCCGGTCTGGGAAGATGCGGGTGTCAAAAACTCAACGGCTGTCGTTCAGCGTCCGAGCTCCCCCCTGGCCGCAGCGAGCGGAGGGTGCTGGTTGCTCCTCATCTCCCCTGTCCTCCTCGTCACCCTCCCCGTTCTTCTCCATCTCCCCTCCTCCTGTCCTCCCCGAGCTCCTGGCCAAGGGGAACGAGACCACAGGTGCCCCTCGTGCTCCTCCATCTCCCCTCCTCCCGTCCTCCCTGAGCTCCAGGCCAAGGGGGACGAGACCACAGGTGCCCATGCCGGTCCCGAAAGAGGACGGTCTTTTCAGAGGCCTCGGATAGTTCTGAATAGCTCGAATCGGTACATCCTGGGCCCGAGCAGCAGAAGTGCACGACAGTGATGGTGAGTCACAGGGTGGCCTGCAAGGGTGCGGCCGTGAGATATGATCTGGGCGTCGAGGGGGTACAAGGAACAACAAGTGACAGGCATTTCCACCCCGTTTCGGAACTCTGGGCCCTGGCGGATCGATCTGGCTCCAAACAACATGTCTTAAGATGAGCTCGTGACCAATGGACGCGGACTTCAAGACGTCGTCAGGGCATGGAAGAGAGCCACGGAACATGACGGCGCATACAACGCGTTGTGGGAACCACGCCCCAGGGTAGTTTGCGAGGTGGTGGCTCTCGGGCATTCGGATGCAACTCCTTGGAGATTAAGTTCAGTATCGGCGCGAGTAGTCGGAAGCCAGCATGATCTCGCGCAATCCTGCTTAATCCGGCCAGATCTGGCTTAATCCCAAGCGCAATCTGGGCTAATTTGGCTTCATTGCCCCGTAATCGGGCTTGATCACTTTTTTCAATTTTTCTTCAGAATACCTCCGAGAAGTTGACTCCTAAGGGGTGCTTTCCGTAGACTTAGCGCGCGCTCTGGAGTTTTCCTGGCTGGCAGTGCCCACGTGCGCGTCCAGTCCGACGGTCGCACGAATCTCGCTTTGGTGTCGTCTGTGTGAGCGGGTGACACCGGGTGCGCCTGCGCGCTTGCGTGTGAGCGATGTAGTACTTTTGGACGCAGCAATGGGCCTTGCAGCGAACAGCGCGGTCAGGGGGCGGGGGCAATAAGCTGCACAGGGAAGTCGGGCGATGGCAAGTAGGGTGCGAAGGCTTTCGGGTGCACTGCGTATCCCCAGTCTCATCCGGAGGCACTCAACAGCAGGCCCATCAGATTCGTGGGCTGCGCGCTGGCTGCACTGCTGGCCCTCGTGTTGGCGCTGCGGGGTGTCGGTTGGCGGGTGAGTTGCTGGGTGCCAGTGGGCGGGCGGGACCCAGCGGGCCAAGGCTCGGGAGGATGTGTGCGGCCATCTTGGTTTCCAGCGCCCTGCGCTGCGCACGCTGAGCCTCGGCCGCTGTCTGGCCCACTCGCCTCGGCCTGAGCAGCGGCCGTCGCCGTGTTCTGAGCGGCTGGAGACAGTCCAGCATCAGAAGGGGGAGCCGTGCGGCGAGAACGAGCTGCGCAAGGGGGGTCGTGCGGTGGTGGCTGGCCTGTGCTGCAGGGACGTCCTGCGATGCCGACCAGACTGCGCACGCGTTCGGGCGTGCCGCGCCTCCTCAGTCTCGCGCAGAAGCAGCGTATGGCCAGGCCGTCATCTTGGGGTGGCTGCGCGCGAGTTGCATGGCGAGCACATGTGTCGGTCGGGTGGAGGAACGTGTGCGGGAAGTTGGCGCGAGGGAAGCAGGAGTAAGAGGAGGAGGAGGAGGAGGAGGAGGAGGAGAAGGAGGAGGAGGAGGAGGAGTGAGAGGAGGAGGAGGAGGAGGAGGAGGAGGAAGAGAAGGAGAAGATGATCGCGAAGGAGCAGGAAGATGATCAGCAAAGGTTCTGGGGAGGTAGCATGAGGAAGGTCAGGGACATAAAAGGGGGGATGAGGGGGGATGAGGAGGAGCGGAGTGCGGAGGAGGAGGAGCAGGAGGAGCAGAAGGAGGCATACGGTGAGGGAGGGAGAGCCCGTCCAAACAGCCGCCCCGCAGTGCTTGTGGAGACCTGGGCGGAGGGGAAGGTCCCGCCCTCAGTGGCTCCTTTTTTCCGTCGCTTTCTTCTCTTCCTTTGTGCCCAACCCTGCCTCCAAGACCCCCTAGAGCCGCACGCACGCACGCACGCACGCACGCACGCACGCACGCACGCACGCACGCACGCACGCACGCACGCACGCACGCACACACACACACACACACACACACACACACACACACACACACACACACACACACACACACACACACACACACACACACACACACACACACACACACACACACACACACACACACCACACACACACACACACACACACACACGCACGCACGCACGCACGCACGCACGCACGCACGCACGCACGCACGCACCACACACACACACACACACACACACACACACACACACACACACACACACACACACACACACACACACACACACACACACACACACACACACGCACACACGCACGCACACACACACACACGCACACACGCACGCACGCACGCACATACACACACAAACACACACACACACAGAACACGACGGAAGGCGTCTGGCAGATTTCAGCCACTGCGAGCTCTTCTTTGGCCCTGGGGCCGTCGAAAACGATTTCACACCACCAGAGACTCCAATCATTATTCGCTATTGGTTGCGCCGTACTTTGCGACAACCCCCCGCGCTTGACTGATTCCGCCGTCACCTTCCACTGTATATTGCGTCAGACTCTTCCCGACATGCACGGAGCTCACTCCGAGTGTCTTGTTCTTGGGTATGCTCGAGCAGTTTGGGCTCGACTTGTGCGGACATGTGGCATGTGCCAGGCATCTGCGGTGACTGTGTCCTCTTTCTCTGCCTGGACGTTATTTTCTTTTCCTTTGTGGACGGTGAACCCATGCCTCCATCGTCACCCATCCCGCCCCCTTCTTCACCTGCTCCTCTCATCCACGTCCGTCCAGGCGTCTTCCACCGTATCCCTCCACCTCCGCCTCGTGGAGCCCATTCCTCTGCTACTCCTGCCAGAGATTTTTTGCTCCAAGGACTGGCCCCGACCCCCTAGGGCCCAGAGATCTAGATCTCTGGTCTCGGGGCACGATGACGGGCCCAAGAGGCCGAAATCGAGGGAAATCGTCGGGCTTCAAACAACCATACGCGTCGTCGGAGATCTGGGGAGGAGAGGGCCCTAGGTGATCTCCGGCATCTTGGACGATTTCGACAACAGCTGCCAGGAGGCCATCAGCGCCATCAGCCAGAAGAAACGATTACTTCAGGAGCCAAGCCTAGTGGAAACAGAGAGAGAGAGAAGAAACAAATAAAAGAGAGAGAGAGAGAGAGACAGAGAGAGGGTCACAATCGCACTGGATCGTGAGCAATGAATCGCAAGTTGTTCTAGAGTCCCTCGAAGTTCTATGTCCGATGTTCGGCCTGAAGGCCTCGCTATTTTTGTCGACATCCCTGCGCTGGATCCGATGGTTGGTTCTCGGTCAAGACCAAGAGGAATGACGTAGTAACTCGGCAAGGCTATCCTTGCATATATTCCTTTTGTATTGCCCACCCTTGGCCATGGATCCTAGGGCGCTTCGCCTCGCCTGACACCGTGGCAATCGTTTCAGCATGGACGCCCAATAGTCTTGCACCATTGCTCGCATTTCTACCGATGATGCACAGTCACTCGGGCTCAGGAGGGGCTCTGGTTTCGGGGCTGTTCCTGAGGTCTAGGTCGGGGGACCTACTCGCGGCCGATGCTCCGACAATGTGCGTGAACATGCTTTTTCTGAGTTCCCAAGGGGTTTCTCGGACCAGCGCTCAGCCCCCCTCGCGGCACCTCCGGCAGTGCCCCTGGCGCGCTCCGCGCACCAGGGAGAGGTGTCCGGCGCCGACGAGGAAGCCCGCGCGAACCTCAGAGAATTATGCTTATGCCGCTTCCTCTGTTCTTCCATTACGGGCCGCAGGATGACTGCAGGCTGCATCCCAGAGTGGAGTCGCGCGGCGCTTGCCCTCTTGGCCCCCAGGCCTCGCGAGGCCTCGGCCGCCCGCGCGCTGCAGGACCCGAGCCTGCGCACGCCTCGGCTCAGCACAGTCTTGGTGTGCCCGTGCCTGCGCGAGATCTGCACGCGCCAAGACTGCACGAGCAGCCCCTGCGAGATCCCCAGGATTCTGGAGAGCTCCCCGTGCCGATGACACTTGACAGGAAACCTGCACAGGGATCTGCCAAAGACCCGCCCGAGTGTCTCAACAGGCCCCCGCCCCCTCGCGCACTCCTTCGTATTGCAGGCGCTGGTACTTGCCCCAGCCAGGACTACAGGATTCTCCCCGACTGCAGGAAGCCCCTCTTTGGCCCTCCCTGGACTACAGGACTCCCCCCTACCCCCCCGACAACAAGAGCACCTCTCCCACGCTACAGAGTCCCCCCGCGGACCATTTCTGGCCACCCCAGGACAAATGAGCCGCTCAGAGTTCAGAGCCCCGTGGCACGAAGACGGCCCCCAGAGCCCGAAAGTAAGGACATGCAAACATCCATATTAACACCGAAATTATCCGATGGAGGCATGTACCTCCGTCGCTGGGAAAAACGAGACGAAATCATCATGGTACTGCTTTCTGCCACGGGAGTTGGTTTGCGGGCACCGAACAATGACACAATTGTTCCCACAAAGGGGTCGAACAGTTTGGGGACCGAAAGTGGCGACGTTGGAGTTCTGGCAACGCAAACTCAGGAAACAAATGAGACCCCCCTCCGATTTCGGCGGATCTTACATCGATTTCGATACTCTGGCTGCGTTATCCTGGCACCAGGGGCCCGCGCATGCAGGGCTTGCGCCAGAGCGTACAGGCGCTCTCTGGCGCCTGTTGACTCGCGCCAGCGCCCGCGAGCCTACACCGACCCCCAGTGGCGGTTGAGTTCCTTGCGGTGGTCAGCACGTTGCGTGGGGGGTGGTTCGCGCTCATCGGCGTTGTGCAGTGTAAAGCTTACGCGTTCGAGTATTCATAGCACCCTAGATGTGCACCCGTCCCCAACGATAACTATGAGTATCGCCATGCAGGTCTATGAGGACCGCACCTTGCAGCGGATGCTAGCCGTAGTGGCAAGTGACTATTCGCACCAATTTCAGACGAGGTGATGCTGTACCAGAGTTCGTACGGCCATACCAGAGGTGCATGCTGGATTCGTTCTGATCCTCCTCCTCCTCTTCCGCCTCCTCCGCCTCCTAAGCCCCAGGAGGGATCTGGCTTGCAGGGAAGTTTTGAACTCACCCCACACCGTGGTGTCCCCGCCAGCGCTGCGCGCGCAATGAGCGGGGGCATCAGGCCTTGCGTTCCCAAACGAGTTGAAGGCCCCCTGGAACACTGTCTAATCCAGGCCCTGCGGTGCCTGGCAAGTAGATGGCTACGCTCATTGATACGGACATCGGTGCACATTGAAGCAACCGCCCCTCCCCCTCCCCTTCTTCCTCCTGATCTCCAGCATCCGCCTCAACAAGTTGCACTCCGTCCGCCACGACATCACCAAGTTCCTCCTCCCTCCTCTCAGCTTAGCCCCCTCCCGCTACCCGTCCCTCGCCAGAACAAGCTGTCCGCAATCCTTTACGACATGAGCATGAAGATGATGGTCCGTGACAACTTCGTGCACGGGGACCGGATTTGGAGGAGCAGGAGGAGGAGCAGGAGGAGGAGGAGGAGGAGGAGGAAGAGGGGCAGGAGGAGGCTCGGGAGCGGCCAAGACGGGGGTGATGCCTAGGAAGATCATGGCTGGGGCCATGGGACCTCTCCTGGTTTCATGGCCCCACTTCTAAGTTTAATACGCCCCACCCCCCCTGGCAACCCATCGGCCGCCCACGTACCTCGGGCTATGATTTTGTGAGCCCCTGTTGGACGCCCCCCTCTTGGACGCCCCCCAGGGGCGGAGAGGGAAGGGAACGAGGGTGGGGTCGAGGTCGGGGAGAACGAGGAGGGAGGAGCGACGGAGAGGGAAGGCACGATAGGCTCTCGTGTCCTCCCTCCCCGTCGCTTTCCCCATCCTCGTTCTCCCCTCTCTGTGCCCAGCCAGCCGCGAGAGCGAACCTATTCCGCCCCCCTCTCCCGCTGTGTCCTCGGAGGGCCGTCCTCGCCCTGCGCGTGCTGTTTTTGTCCACACTGGATTTCAAACGTTTTGTGTTGTTTCGTACGGTGTTTTATCATTGAATCGTGCTTCCAGATGGTGATCCCGCTGCAGCGTCGGCATAATTTTCGGGTCGGCACGTTGCTCCAGTCGTTTAGACTGGCGCTCTCGCCCAAGCGGGGGCCACTTTTCTGGTTCCGAGTCTTGCTTCATTGTGGTCCACCTCATCATTTCCCCTCCGCCTTCCCCTGGTCCTCCTGCTCCTCCCGCTGTTTCCACTCCAGTTCCTGTTGCTGCTGCTGCTGCTGCTGCTGTTCTTCTCGCCCAGCGCGGGCCACTTTTCTGAGTCCGGGACTTTATGTATCATTGTCGCCCCCCTCATCTGCCCTCCTCCGCCGTCCTGGGTCCTCCTTTTCCTCCCGATCCTTCCTCTTTAGTTCATGCTGCTGCTGTTCATCCTTAACCTTTTCCTCTTGCTTATCCTCCACCTCCTCCTCCTCCTCCTCCTTTTCCTCCTCCTCCACCTCCTCCTCCTCCTCATCCTCCTCCTCCTTCTCCTCCTCCTCCTCCTCCTCTTCCTCATCCTCATCCTCATCCTCCTCCTCCCCCGAGGTGCACGCAGCTCCCGTTTTTCCGATTGCGCATATCACGAAGTGGTCTTCATGTGGGAGTTGCAGGTCAGCTATGACACGCGTCCGCGGATAGAGAAACATCAGCGCCATCGGACAGGATGGGATGGAGGGATGGGATGTCAGATGAGGCGCGAGCGCACCTAGCTTGCTGTCTGCCCCCTCTCTTCCCCTCCTTCTCCTGTTCCTCCTCCCCCCCGCCCTCCCTGGAGGACCTCCACGGCGGCAACATCCTCTACAGCGAGGCGGACAACCACGTCACGGTGCTCGACGCGGGCATCGCCACGCAGCTGGAGCAGCGGAACGTGGCGGCATTCGGCAGGCGCCGCCCCAGACAGCGCGGAGCGATTGGGAAGGGGAGGGGGGGCGCTGCGCTCTCCGAAGAGGGCCTCGCCCTTGGCGAGTCGACGGAGGCGGACCTCCCCAGCGCCCGGCGGAAGCTGGCTGCCAGGATTCGGCCGCATCGTGTTGTAAGTCATCAGGGATTCGAGCACGAATGGCCGATCAGCCGTGGTGAACGAAGCCTACCCCACCTCGAGGCGTCTCCTAGGCGATTGGGCTGAGCTTTGAGAGCCCCTCTTGAGGTGTGTGCCTACCTATAGGCCGTTTCCGAATGATAGCTGACGGCGTAGCGAGGGCGTCTTTGCCGGCGCAGGGCCCGCAGAAGTGTGCGGAAGCAAGGGATGGTGAGGAGGAGGGAGAAGATGGGGAGGACGGGGAGAACAAATCGGAGGATTACGATGAGGAGCGCGGAGGAATGGTTTTGTTAGTGCGCTCGCGCTGTAACGTGAGGATTCCCGGCTCACCGCACGCCTGCTGCTCTTCCCTTCTCCTTCCCTTCTCCCCCTCCGCAGCCGTCTAGGCTGGAGCTGGCAGTCGTTGATTGCGGAGGGGGGAGGGGCGCGCCACCCCTGAACCCAGCGATGTGGGCCCCACTCCCGGGGAAGGGCGTCTGGGCCCTTCTGCTGATACTCTGGTGCTGGGGAGGGGACGGCGAGGTTGACCCAGACCCCTCCCAGCCCATCGGCCGGCAACCCACGGGAGTTGCCGGCAAGGCGGCGGGGGCCGTCGCAGGAGCCACGCTGCTCTTCGGCGACGGGTCTTCCCCGGCGTCAGACTGTGAGGTGGCCCCGTCGGGCCCCCCCTCCTCCGTCGAGGAGGGGGCAGCAACACCGGCCCCATTGGAAGGGGAAGATGCTGTCTCGCCTTCATCCAGGATGCTTGAGGAGGAAGGACCAGGGCCACCCTCAGGGGTTGGGGATGATTGCACCCCCACGGAGTAGCACGAGCCTGGCTACGAGGATGAGGTTGAGGAGGCCGAGGACCTGGGTGAGGAGGAGGAGGAGGCGAATGGATAGTGGTTGAGATCCTGGGCCTTCTTGGGGGAATTGGGAGCACTTGGTTGCCCGCCGACGGACTGGAACATATCGGACGTCGGCGGAGGGGCACCTGCGCTACCGAACTCTCAGGACCGGAACCAGATCCCCCGAGGGGGGAGGCGGCCTTTCAATGGTACCTCGTGCGCCTGGGAGGCTGGCTGGCTTACCTCCTCCGTCGTTCGCTTTGGGACACCCTGGGAACGTGCTGCAGAACGTCCTCACCACCCTGCCGGGGAGCCTGCTCGTCTTCTGCCGGGATCGGCTGGTGGTCCTCCTTTATTGGGTCCTCGTGTAGGCCCGCACTGGAAGGGTACCGCACCCCACGGGAGGGGAGAGACCACCCCCTTTGCAGGACCCGGACCTGGAGTGGCAGGGACCACCGCAGGCGCTGGGCTGGGCGGGCCCCCACCAGAGTTCTTCCAGGAGAAGATCCGGGGGCGGGGCCTCTGCAGCCACCGGCGCCCCAACGACCTCCTCAGCGTCATCGAGGGGGGGCTCACTCGCTTATCGAAGGGGAAGGCGAAGGGGCACCCGATCCCAGGGGCAAGGAAGGCGGGGCAGCTCTACTCATACGGGAGGGCCCTTTATTTCCAGTCCCCAAAGCTGCGCCAGCTCTTGGAGAATGTGGTGGGGGGTGTCGGTAGGTTGCGGGCCAGAAATTGCCGGTTGGGGGGCCCCGGTATCGAAGCTCTCGTGGGGCGGGGGTGCCGGGGCGTGCTGGGGGGCATGGTGGAGGGTTCCGGTACGCCTCGGGCCAGAAATTGCCGGGTGGGAGGCCCCAAGAACGGAGCTCTCGTGGAGCGGGGGTGCCAGGGCGTGGTGGGGGGCATGGTGGGAGGCATCGGCAGGTTTCGGGCCAGAAATTGTTTGGCGGGGGGGCCCAGCGTGGAAGGGGGCACGGTGAGGGAACGGGAGGATGTCCCGGACTTGATCTAGGCATCGATGGAACAGGTCACGGGAGTCGCGCTCCACCCCCCCACTGGCTGCCTGAACCTGTCCTGGGAATAGCAAGACCACCCGGGCCACCCGCCGGGGGAAGTCGCAACGCGGCGCGTTTGCGTTGTAAGGGGGAACCACCTGCTACCTCTACCGCGCCAAGCGGGGGTACCTAGACGCCCGCCCCAGTCACCCGGGGCCGCGTTGCGAAACCGCCCTCGCGACAGAGGAGGAGGTCCAGGGTTGCCAATTCTCCTCAGACCTGGAGCGGCGGGTGGCGCTCCGTGCCTTGGAGCGGGCCATCATTGTCACGGGGGAGAACCTCGACGACGGGGCCCGCGCGGACGCAGGGGGGGAGGAAAGGGAACGGGGATCCGAGGAGCCCCCCCGAAAACGGAGACCCCGGCGAGGGGCCCGCAGGCCCAAGCGGCCCTCCCCCCCCCCCAGGGGGAAAGCGGAGCGTCCCCCCCAGGAGCCCGCGGGGCTGACACCCGTGGACCCTTTCCAGGCCTTGCCGGACTCACGGGCGGCGCTGGATCGACTGAGCGGCCCTGGGGCGGCGGGAAGGAGGCACCGCCTGGTCAAAGAGAGGCTGCACGACCTGCTCCGGTCGATGGAGGATCCGGCAGGGGGAGCGGCGAAGCCCCGGAGGAGCTGGTGTCAGCCCCAATTACTGGAGGCCTACCCCGAGACCGCCCTATATGCACCCTCGATGGGGACCGGGGAGACCCTCGAGGCAGCAGCGCGAGTCGGGGATGTCCGCCTCGGCCGGCGGCCCTCCGGGGGGGGGAGACCCGGTCCCCGCTCGGGCGGAAGAATAGAGGAGCCGGCAGCGGTCGAGCCCCCGAGGCCCCTTTCAGGGCGCGCCCGATCTGCGCGGCAACGCGTTCGAGCGGGACGCGGGCACGTTCGGAGTCGGCGACCCCGCGGCCGCGAGAGCCGGTGGCGGTCGGGAGCCGCGCGCGACCCCCGCAAGGGCGCTGGCCCTGCGCCGCCTGAAGGTGGGGAGCTATGCGGGAGCCCAGAGTGCGACGCAGGAGGCCCACATATGGGAAGGGGACTGGAGATCGAGAGGGACAGTCTCGTGGCCCTGGCTTCGCTGGGAGCTGCCACGGCGGCTCGTGGGGAAGGAGGGGGACGGTCGCACCCCCCCACGGAAGATGAGGGCTCCCCCCGCCGCGTCGCAGGGGTGGTCACGCGCAGGGAGGAGAAGGCCTATAGACGGGATCCCCCCCAGGGCTCGGGGGGGCAGGACCAGAGCGACGGGGAGGGGCGGGCGCAGCCCGCGAGGGAACGCGGACCGCGACTGGAGGAGCAGGGCTCGGAGGTGGATCGGACGGGTCCACTTGGAGGGGGAGGAGGGCCCGCGCCCCTTGAGCACCCCCCCGGAAAGCTACGTGGAGGAGGGACCGGACTGGGACCTTCTCGCCAGCATGTGCCCCCTGAACAGGACAGGGCCTGGCAAATGACGAAGGGCCCCGTCCTGGGAACAAGTTCAGTCCAGGCGACCCCCTGCCGTCGGTGTGGGCCGATGTCTTGAGGACCCTGGCCGTCCGTTTGGATCGGGTGGTGGTCCCGGGCCGCGTGGCCGAATGGTTGGACGACCTGGTCCCAACGGAATGGGATGGGTGGACGGAGATCGCCATGGCGCCAGCCTGGGACACCGACGACGTCAACGAGCGGGTCTGCTACCACCCCGACTTGATGCTGCTCTATTTCCTGGACGCAGGGGAGGCCTTCTGGGTCCAGCTGGTGATCTGGAGCCGCCCGCCCCCCCCCTGAGGGAGCCCCTTGCCCCGACGAGCCGCTGAGAAGCCGCGGGGCCGCTGCCCGCGCGGGTTGGGCCAGAGGGTAAGGGGGTCACCCTTCTCGGGCTCGGGCCTCACCCGTCACCCAGCAGTTACTCGGAAGGTGAGGGCCCCCCCCCCAGCCGCTGTGGGCGCGCTCGGGGGCTCCCCCGTCTCCCCTGACCCGCCGCGTGGCCCCCGGGAAACCCCTGCCGGTAGGGCAGCCCCCCGAGGGACTCAACCCGTGCGCAGAAGGCCTGACCTTCCCCCCGTGCCTACCTCGACTGGCCCTTGCTGGCACTGGTGGGACGCAGTGTTTCCTCCGGGAGGGGTGGCGGCCTGGCAGGCACTGTATGTAACCAGGAGCGCGCTTGGCGGCCTCCCTTCGCTTTCAACCTCAGGCGTGGACCTGCCACCCTGCCTGATGTCTGCTGGCGTAGGCTCACGCCCGCCGGCCTTCGCTCCCGCACTGCGTTTTCTGCCGCCTCAACTCCTTCGGGGCATCGCTGCCCACTTGTAAGAGCACCCACCCCGGTGGGGTGCCCACCTGTGGAAGGCCTGACCCTCCGGCCGCACCTGCTTTAGATAGTGACCGGGAGATCCCCCTGCACCGCAGCCCTCTCATGGTGGTGCGGCGGCTGGGCAGGCAGTTTCGTTATATTGTTTGCTCCGAAGATGGAAGGCGCAGTGGCATCACACTTCCGTTTTTGGGAGGTAGGAAGGTGGCGAGGCCCCGTTGGGCGTGGCGTGGGTTTGCTGTGGGCGGGCGAGCCTTCGGCTGAACCCTTGCTTTTCGCCACGCCATAAAAAAAGCGGGGGGTCCTCCCCCCCTTCCGCATAGTGTACCGCCTCAGTCAGGAGTCTGGTTTTGCTAGTGCGCTCGCGCTGTAACGTGAGGATTCCCGGCTCACCGAACGCCTGCTGCTTTGCCCTGTTCCTTCCCTTCTCCCCCTTTCCGCAGCCGTCTAGGCCAGAGCTGGCAATAGCTTCTCCTCCCTCCCACCCTGCATTTTCCCGCCCCTATGTGGGCGGGCGGCGAGCATTCGGCTGAACCCCGCTATTCGCCACGTTAAAAGCGGGTGCTCCTCCGCCCCCCTATCGCATAGTGACTGTCTAGGGCCTCGGTCAGGGAATCAAATAGCAAGGTTATGACAAGGAGGACGAGGGGGAGGAAATAATACGCGAGAAAAGAGGAGGAAGAAGAGGAGGAGGGAGAGGACAGGGCCATGGAGCTGCGGCGCCGTCCTGATTTGCCCGCTTCTCTTCGGAGGTTCGAACACGGGGTCCTGATGGATGGGACCCTGAGGATAGGAAGGAGCTTCCAGGTTGAGTTCAACATCGCAATTGTTCAAGCCTTCCTCGCCCTAGGGCCCCGGGCTTCAGGGCTTCGTCGATGGAAGCGTCCAGACCTCACGCTGGCGAGGTTCCTGCACGCCCTGTGCTCCGGGGACGCCGAGAGGACCGTGGAACACCTGCAGCGCTTCAACATGTCGACCATCAAGGCACGGCCTGCACCCTGCGCCTCGTTCCTTCCTGGCCTCATCGTGCCTCCTCTCCGCCCCCCGGCTCCCGCCCCCGTCTCCAGATTCTGCTGCCTCCTTCTTCCCCGCCTTCGCGCCATCATCAGTCGTCCGCCTTTGCACCAGCGTGGGTCTACCAGCTTGCACTGCATGGTACAGCCCGAGTGAGACACGCCGGCGTCCGCCCAGCAATGAGTGTTGCGACCCAGGTGCCAAATATCAATATATGTTGCGACCCTGGTGCAAGGGGGAGGGGGAGGGGGAGGGGGAGGTGAAGTGATGGAGTGAGAGGGAGGGGAGGGAGATGGAGGGGGCAGGGAAAGAGGGGAGTGGGTGAGGGGCAAGGGGAATGGGGGAGGGTGCACGGGGAAGGGGGGGCAAGACTGGTGCGCTCGCGCCATATCTGGCATCACACCCCTCCCACCCATCCCTTACCATGGAGTTGAGCCCCCTCCATTCGGCGAGTCGAATGTTCGAGGACACATGTTTCCCGAAAGGGACACTTTGTTCTAAAACTGGTAAGGGCACAATCGGGAACACCACCTTCGTGGATGAAGGAACACGGCCAGGGCGACGGCGAGAGCGTCGATGGAAGCCCATACATTTGGCAGGCACTGCAACGGGAGCTACACGTTCTGCTGATGCCAGAAAACAGCTAACGCTGGGACGAGAGCGCCGTTCCATTGGACAGAAACTCGTGACTCCATCTCCTACGTCTGGTCGAGCACAGAACCTTGCGTCTGCCTCACTTACGACCCCGACTCCGACTCACGCACCATCCCCAGAGAAGTGACCGTTAAGATTGCCACGACGATGTTGTCTCGGGCTTCCCTGTGCTACGGAATCGGTACGCGAGCCTATCGGCCAAGCGTGCGCGGATGGGCGTCCGTTACGCTCGAAATCAGCACGAATAGTTTGTGTTGCACATCCACCACACTACGGCCAGAAATGCCAGCACAGCCACCAGTATAGCCTGTTTGACGAGTGTGAGCCTGTCCAGCGCCAGGCTGGTGATGACGACCACAAGTGCGTGTAGCACCATAGCCACAAGCACCGACACATCCATCGGCGTGACCAGATGACGTGTTGCAGTTTTCCCTTCAGATTCAGCCTCGGGCTTCGACTCCATCTCGAACTCCTGCTTCCGACTCCGGCTCTAACTCCAGCTCCGGCCCCTCTTCCGATGCTAGCTCCGGCTTCCAGCGCCGCGGATTCAGCACCACAAAGTTCGTGCGCATGATGGATTGACGGGCGCCCTGGCCGTGAGGTCGCGGTCATTCTTCTTTCTGCTTCACTTCCCCCTTCTCTGCGTTCCCATCCTGTGAATGTGCTCCTTCTAATTCGCCAGGGGGCATCGCTGCTTTGCATCAGGGAGGCTGGCTGGTTCGCCCCCGGCCGCCCGACACAGCGTGCCGCAACCCCCTTAGGTGCCGTTCCTGGCTCGTGCGGCTTCTGCGTCCTGGCTGCTTGGTCGGGCTATTGGCGCCCGACCTTTGTTTCACAGGATCCTCAGAAGCGCGTCTCTCCTTGCTTGATATTTCTGCACTGCGTTATTAACTTTTCTGTTCGTCCCTGCCCTCCCCTCCACTCACGCTTGTGCGGGACAAGTCTTCGAATGTCTCCAAAAAGGTCTGGGTCAGCCAATGCAGGTACGGTGCCCGCTTCTATCCTTAGGCTCCTGCCGCATTGCTCCATTCCATCCGCTGGTCTGCAGGTGTGTAAGATACCACTGGCAGTGGCACCAGCTCACTCGTGTACGCGCTGTGCGCCGTAGTGACAGCAATTGAGCGACGCAGAAAAGCGGAGTCGTCTGCGCCGACATTGGCGCGTAAGCGTCTTGCGTAGGGTCGCGCGTAAGCGCCCTCGTCGCCAATGTATCACGTCACGCTGGAGGCCCGCGTAAGCCACCGCGTAAGGTAGCTATGCCATCTCGCGAAAGGCCCTTTTGTTTTGTTCGCTCTATTGACCCTCTTTGCTGGGGGGCTCTTATTCGTGACCAAGCTTGGCCCACCATCCGTCATGCGGCTGGCCGCGTTTGTTCTCTCTCCCCTCTCTCCTCTCCTCTCATCCGCCATTTCTCCTTCCTCCCCTTTCGCTTCGAGGGAGGTCCAATCAGTCGATAAGGCTCTAGACCCTCGTTCGTCATTACCGTTGTTTTCTCCTTGTGTTCAGGTCAAGATGAGCCCGTATAGCGGGCGCCTTGGGTTTCGGTACTCATCAGTACAGCACCACCCACGACAGTTGCTCGCGTGACGGGCACTTCAAAGGACAGCCGAACCGAACCTTCGCTTCGCTGACGATGCCTTCTGGTGTGGAGTTCCCGGGTTTCCCGGCGGTGTTCCGTCCGACGTCAGAGTATCATGTTTGCAGTGTGTGGGTGTTGCCATGAGAAAAAGTGCCACGCGGTGGGAACTCGATGGAAATCTTGACATGCGGCACCCGTTTTAGGCGGGGGCCACTGTTGCTGATGCAATAGAACGACCAGCGCCGCGGCGAGAGCATCGTTCCGTTGGGTTGAGGTTTCATGGGAATCGCTAAGTGCGGCCATGGCTGCAGCTTGAGCACAACTTTTGAAGGGTAGCGAACGGTCTGTCTCGAAAACGCAAATTGAAACCACCTTTACGTAAACCACAGTATGCGGGGCAGGCGGGGGAAACTACAGACGGTATCAGGGGAGAGAGGGAGCGACTTACCATTGTTATGTAATTCTGGGGTGTGGGGGGTCTGTCGGATAAGCGTCTGGGCCTCCGCGTCCTGGGCTGGCGTTCTCTCTAGTAGCGTCCCGAAGGTCGAGGGCCTGCCCTGTCGCCGGCCCCCCTCCGCACACCGAGTACACGAGATTGTGCATGCAACGCTGGCCCGTCGTGCGCCCGAGACTTGCCTAGCGAGCTGGCCAGTTTCCCGACCAAGGCCAGCGCGGTTTTGATCTCAATCTTGAGAGTGGGCCGGGCCTGAGCCCTGGGCTGCGCCCAGTGCTCATCGCCCCGAGGGCGACCCCGGTCTTTGCCTTGGAGCCCATGCTTGCGCGCGCTTGCCGTGCGGGTTTGCCGGCTCTGCTTCATGTAATACGGGGGGGGGCAGCCAGCAGCGCTCTGCGCTCGTGGCCGCCCTCGCGGCCGTCTGGGCATGTGTCGGCTCTGCCTGCGAAGCGCTGGCGAATCGCGCTCTTTCTCTCGTTGGCATTGGGCAGGGCTTGAACGATGCGTGTGGCCGACGTGTGGGCGACCAGGAGCAGCGTGACTCGATCTGACGCGTTGACGGTTCTCCTTCGTGGGCAGCGCTCTGAAGTTTGCGTGGGAGTCTTGAGAGTCCGTTTCCGGATCACCTGCGCAGCCTGCACAGTTTCGATGATGTCAGCTTGGGGTCAGCGCGGCAGGGGCCCAATGTGCCCAATGTTTTTCGAGGATAGAGGATCTGGCTGGATCCCAAATCTGTAGCAGAGGAGGAAAGGATCTCGTACATCTGGATTGGGTTTTGTTCTGGACAGTATGATGCTTGTTGAAGCTGCTGAACTTGAACCGTGGAGGGGGGATCCTTCAACAGTATCCGGAACTTGGGCGCCAGGGGCATCTTGTACCTAATATCCAGTGTTGCCCTCCTCTTTCAGAGGCTCAGGTTAGTGAAGCTTGGCAAGTTCATATCCCGTAGGCCAGAACTAGATACGTACGCGCGTGTCCTCATCTGGTTTGTGCGGTGTAGCATCCGACAGTCGAACATGTAGTTACTCGCCTACTCCCCTACCTCCTCCCACCGCACTCCTTTTTCAATACTGACGCGTTGCGCGATGTTGTTAAATTATGGGAGGGGTACGTGATGGCGGTGAGATGTACTAGAAGTTTATGTTGGCCCGCCCGTAATCGCAGTTCGGACTCGCTGCATTGCGTTGACCCTTGCACTCTGTCCTGTTTGCTCCAGGTAAACCTGCCGATGGGAGTATGTTCGCGTTCCTTGCCCGAGTCCAAGTGAAATCACATTCCTGCCTCAATGTGCATTCCAGCCTGGTGCTCACAGGTGAACCTGGCGGAGCTGAAGGCAGACGTGCAGGCCACAATGGACAAGTTCATGGGGCCGTTACGGCAGAGCCCGCCAAGGGGGGGGAGGGGCGACTCCATCCAGAGGGGGAGATGGAAACGCACGCCATGTCTCTGCCAAGAAGTTGGGTACCCAGATCTCCGAAGATCTGAACACTTCAGTGCGCATGGTGTTCCTCAATGTCGGCCTCTGGGGACCGTTATCGGGCCCTGGGGCCATCGAACGTGGATCCAGGCGGCGTGGCCAACTCGGGCGAGATGTGGCCGCATGTCCTCCCAGCGTTCGGCACGACTGTGGACGGGTGCGCCAGCTCCCCACATGTGCATCCATCAAGTGGCCTCCGCGTACCCAGGGAGAGGAATCGCTTCCCAGGGGGTCGTTGTGAGAACTCTCTTCTGCACGTTGTCGTCGTCTGCTGGTTTGCAGAGCTGCAGATGGCTTCTCGACTGATGCAGCGGACGTCGCCTCGTAAACGCGAGCCGCATGATGGCAAGGGGGAAGAGGAGCAGGCACTCAGCCAGCTAATGACCAGGAGGAGGAAAAGAAAGGTGTGTGAAGGGGGGAGGAGGGAGAATAGGAGAAAACAGGGGGGAGAGGGGCACGCTGTTTCGATACTGGATCTGCCAACGAGTGCAGGCTCAGGCACCGAATCCATACCTTTCGGTTTGACATCTGGTTTCGATTCACGACGGCCCTGGAGTCCGAAGCGGCCCCAAAGAGCCCGAAATCTAGGAAACAACTCCAGCGCGATATCTGTCCGATCCTCTCCCCCTCCCATGCGGAATAATTTCGCACATGCCATGGCACGGCACGGCACGGCACGGTCCGCTTTTTCCCGCGGGGCGAGCGTGACTCCAGGGCCCCAGGTGGCGGCGGAAGCTAGCAGTGCATGCAAGCAGCGGGCACGAACAGAAGAACGGACAAGAAAGAAGGGGAACGAGAAGCTAAGAGTGCTAAGATGGATGGGACAGCCGCCGTCCTGCCGGGGGGACGGCTCGGCGGCGGCCATCGCCCACGGACGCACGCGCCCGTCCGCAGGCACGGCGGCGCCCCTCCGTGCCCAAGCGGCCCGCTCCCGCCGCCGGGCTCCCGCTGGCGCGGCGCGGCGGCGGCGGCCATGGACGCGCCCGCCCGCTGGCGCGGCGCGGCGGCTCCGGCCGCGGACGAGTCCGCCCGCTGGCGCGGCGCGGAGCGGGCGCCTGCCGAGGCGCCCGCGCGCTCGCGGGGCGCACCGCCAGAGCGCTGCGGCCAGCCGCTTGCGGCGCCCCGCGCCGGGCCTGGGGCCGTCGCGGCACTGGCCGCCTGCCTGCCGCTGGTCGCCAGTTTGTTTGTCGTGTTAGTTATGTGCACACACACATGTTTATATATATACATACATGAATACATACATACATACGTGCATACATACATATATCCACCTAATGTTGTATGCTTGTGTGTATATGTATATATATACACAGATCGAAGACCCCTACGGCGAATCACCGCCGCCCCCTGCCTTCTGGAATCGCCCATGTGGCCGAGCGTTGCGGCAAGAGCTCTGCCAAGCTGTCGGCCCATGTGTTCCCCCCGCCGATGTAGAAACCATTCGGGGAACACTTGGGGGAGAATGGCGGGGAAGATCAAGAGGAGGAGGAGGAGGAGGAGGAGGAGGAGGAGGAGGAGGAGGCATCTTGGGAGCCCCTGGGGCGCTCTTGGGGCCTCCTGGGAGCTTCCTGGGAGCCTCTTGGAGGCAACTTGGGGGCCTCCATGGGCCTCTTGGGCGCCTTAGGGGGCTTCTCGGGGGCCTCTTTGGCCGTCAGACTGGTATTCCTGGCCCGTCTGACGCAGTCGGAAGCCGTCTTGAGGGCCTCCGACTTTGGGCCCTCTTGTGGTGCTCCAGGGCCGTCTTGGAGGCCATGTAGGGCGTCTTGGAGGCCTCTTGGGCCCTCTTGGGGCCCTCTTGGGGCCGTCTGCGGGGCCTCTTGATCCGTTCTGGGGCCATCTTGGAGGCCACTTCGGAGATCTTGGGGGGCTCTTGGGCCGTCTCGGGGCCCTCTTGGGGCCGTCTTGGAGGCTTCTTGGGCCGTTCTGGGGCCATGGGCGATCTTGGGGCGATCTTTGGGGGCTATTGGGCCGTCTCGGGCTGTCGGAAGACTGAAAAGAATTTGTATGAGAAGCCAATGATTTTGGCCTCCTCAGGCCTTCTTGGAGGCTCTCTTGGGGGCATCTTGGGCCGTCTTGGAAACCTCTTGGGAGCCTCTTGGGAGCCTCTTGGGAGCCTCGTGGGCCGTCTTAGGCGATTTTCGAGCCATCTTGGGCCGTCTTGATAGCCTCCTGGCCCGTCTGACGCCGTCGGAAGCCGTCTTGAGGGCCTCTTTGGGCCGACTTTGGGCCCTCTTGGGGTACTTCAGGGCCGTATTGGAGGCCATGTAGGGCGTCTTAGACGCCTCTTGGGGGGCCCTCTTGGGGCCGTTCTGGGCCATCTTGGAGGCCGTCCTGGGGCGATCCAGGGGCGATCTTTGAGGGCTCTTGGGCCGTCTCGGGCCGTCGGAAGGCCGAAACGAGGCGAACGCCAAAATCTCAAACACCTGAGGGAATCGATGAGTTTGGCCTCTTCAGGCTGTCCCGGAGGCCCTCTTGGGGGTCTCTTGCGCAGTCTTGGAGCCATCTTCGGCCGTCTTGGTGGCCTCCTCGCCCGTCTGACGCCGTCGGAAGCCGTCCTGGCTTGTCTGACGCCGTCGGAAGCCGCCTTGGGGGCCTGTCTGGGTCGTCTTGGGGCCTTCTTGGGGCAGATCAGCGGTTCTTAGAAGCCATCTTGGGCGTCTTGGAGGCCTCTTGGGCCGTTTTGGGGCCCTCTGGGGGCCGTCTTGGGGGCCTCTTGGGCCGTCATGGGGCCATCTTGGAGGCCTCGTGGGCGATCTTGGGGGCCTTTTGAGCCGTCTTGAGCCGTCGGAATGCCGAAAAGAATGCCTCTTGGGCCGTCTTGGAGGCCTCTTGGGGGCCTGCTGGGCCGTCTCAGGCCATCTGGAGGCCATCTCAGGCCGTCTTCGATGCACCTTGGGCCGTTTTGGAGGCATCTTGGAGGCCACCTTGGCCGTCTTGGAGGCTATCTTGGGCGTCTTGGGGGCCTCTGAGGCCGTCTTGGGGCCTTCTTGGGCCCTCTTGGGGACCTCTTGGGCTGTTATGGGGCCATCTTGGAGGCCTCGTGGGCGATCTTGGGGCGATCGTGGGGGCCTCTTGAGCCAGCTTGAGCCGTCTATATTCCGAAAAGCAAACGCCAAAATCCTTCAAAAGCCAAGGGAAAATCAATGATTTTGGCCTCTTCGGGCCCTTCTCGAGGACCTCTTGGAGGCCTCTTGGGCTGTCTTGGAGGCCTCTTGGGGGCCTCTTGGGCCGTCTTGGGGCCGTCTTGGGTGCATCTTGGGCCGTCTTGGAGGCATCTTGGGGCCATCTTAGCCGTCTTGGAGGCCATCTTGGGCCGTCTTGGAGCCGTCTGGGGCAGGAAAACCCTCGGCAACCACATCTGGAAGATCCTTTCGGGTGGCTGGCGGGACGCGCCGGAGCCCCAGGGGGAGTTCTTTTGGACAAGGAACCACAACTAAAACCGAAAGGGCCTAGCACGCCGTGCACCCCTGTGGCAAGCCGACAGGGGGCAGCGGATACAATGACCTTCGGCCCATCCCGCCACTGTGCCTGGGCTGTCGGTATGCCTATTGGATGTTCGTTGGGATCTCGTGGGGGGCTTCTCATAGGGCCTCTTGTAGGCAGTTTGGACGCCTCTTGGGGGTCGTTTGGGGGCTTCTTGTGGCCTCTTTCGGGCCTCGTGGGGCCCTCTTGGGGGCCTCTTGGGGCCTTTTGGGGGCCTCTTGGGGCCTCCTGGAAGTTTTTCGGGGCGAAGGGCTTGGATTCTCGGTTCGTGGTCCCTTATTTGGGCTCTTTCTGGAGCCGTCTTGGGGCCTTCTTGGGCAATTTTGGGCGCCTATTGGGCTGTTTTGGGGCCCTCTTGGGCAGTTTTGGAGCCCTCTCGAGGGCTTCTTGGGCCGTCTTGAGGCGGTCTTGGGGCCCTCCATGGCCGTCTGGGAGCGTCGAGAAGCCGAGAGGGCGAGATTGCCACACTCTTTTGAAAACCAATGGGAAATTTTATGATTTTGGCTTATGAATAAGAAGCCCGAAGTGCAAGCACGGTTTGGGGAATACCGCTACATGTTAGCCAGCGCGGGGCCCCAAACAATTCGCGTTCAGCAGCCAGGCGGTGCAATTCATTTTGAAAAACTCGGAGTTGTCACCTCCACTGCTCGCACAATCATCCCGCCCGCCAGCCGCGCTAGCCCGCGCGTGCTCGCGCGGCCGACGCGGCCGCGGTGGTGCTGGCCGCTGGGCACTTCCCAACGGGCACTTCAATGCGAGTCGGTGACTCGGGAGGGCGCGGTATCACAGCGGCGTCGACAACGGCAGACGCGACGGTGACGCGATGGGGGCGTTCTTTAAGAAATGCGACCGGGAGGCTGCAGACCCTGGAGGATTTTTAATTTGGTGACGGCGACGGTGGTATCCATGGCTGGTCCACCAGTGGGGTTCCACTGGCGTCCAGGCCTTTGATTCCTTGTGCAAGGATTCCTTGTCCAATGCCCCCACCGTGGATGCAACGGTGGTGGCGATGATAGCGATAACGACGGCAAAACCGTTGACGGCGTCGGTGCTGATCACGCCGATGACGATGACGGTGCCCTCGCGTCGGCGATGGAGGTCTTGGAAGGAGTTCGACATGCGCGCGCCACCGACGCGCGCGACTGACCCGCATTGTATCATTTGAAAGCCTCCCCCAGCGCGCGCAAGGGCGTTCGGATGATTTCGACATGCGGCGCGAGCGGCCCGTTTGGTTGCAATCGATGAACACGCTTAGAAACTTCATGTATTCGGGGAAATTCGCAAGGGCGCGTGCGCATATTTATTTTTGACAACTGGTGTTGCAATACCGCATGTGTTTTATGTGTTCGGGACACTCGGCCTAGGAATCCGTAGCCTAAGGTATTCGAACGATTCCAGCACGCGCGCGCGCGAC